CCTGGACCTCTTTGTGTCAGAGTGTCATTAGTGTCAGCTCTGCCCGTCCAATCCCCTCTCTGACTGTCTTTTTATGCTTCTCTTAACTTTCTTCTTGTGATCTTTGCCCCCCGCCCATCCAGTCTCACGTTCGCTTTCGTTCTGCACACAGGCATGCTCAAAAGCACTGTCTTCTTACTTCAAAGACTGCATTACTTCTTTACCCTTAATCTTATCCATTGTCATTGCAGAGGATCTGCCCATTGGACGCAACAGGGAAAAGCCATTCCCGGTCTCGATATCTGGGGGTTTCCAGCTAAGGTCATTTGACCTCCAGGGCTGTGCTACAGAGAACCTCTCTGTGAAGAAGGCCACTTCACAATGGCTCGGAAGATGAGCATTAATGAGCTGGAGGACCAGCTGCTGTGCCCCATTTGCTTGGAAATCTTCAAGGAGCCGCTGATGCTCCAGTGTGGGCACTCCTATTGCAAGTCCTGCGTGGTGTCCCTTTCGGGAGACCTGGAGAAGCAGTTCCTGTGCCCGGTGTGCCGGAAAGCTGTGGATTGCAGCAGTTCTCCGCCCAATGTGAACCTGGCCCGCATCATCGAGGCGCTGCACACTGTGAGCAACTCGGATCCCAACGAAGAATCCTGTCCTGACCATCATAACCCCCTCAGTCTCTTCTGCGAGCAAGACCGGGAGGTGATCTGCGGGCTGTGTGGCACCATTGGCACTCACCAGCACCACAAAGTCATGCCCGTCTCCACTGTTTACAGCCGGATGAAGGCAGGTGCTTGGGAGGGGGGAGACTTGGGCTTGAGTGGGCAGAAGGGGCTCAAGCCTGCTAGGATTCTTGCAAAGGATGCTAGACTAGGTGGCCCCAGGTCTTAGCCAGCCAGCCATTCTTGAACAGGAGCTCAGACTCTGGAGAACTGAACATGGACTACTGGTGTTCTAAAGAGATCCCGACTCCACACTCCTGGTGTTGTAAATTTGATACACACAGACGGACCGTGGAAGTTCTAGTAAGGCTGCAGTAGAAATCTGACATCACTCCTGCCCTGAGTTGGGGAGATCACTGCAACCTTCTCCCTCCGGTGTCTCAGTGTCAGAGCATCTGCTTGGCATGCAGAAAGTCCCAGGTTCAGTCCCCGGCATCTCCAATTAGCTGGACCAGGTAGCAGGTGAAATGAACTACTGAGTTGACAGTGCTGACCTTAATGGGCCAAGGGTCTGATTCGTTATGGCAGCTTCATTGTTCTTCCTGGGTCTGATGAGGGTTCAGGACTGCCTCATCCTGGCCTGTCTGGGGGCCAAGCTGCACATTCAGGGTTTTAATTTTAATAATAATTAACGAGTTGGGTTCGGGTTCCCCAAAGGCGCCCAGTAACTATTTTTACACGTGGGCCAGCAAAAATGGGGAAATAATTCTTCCTCCCCAGCACTGTTTCTGTGTGGGAAAACAACTGGGGGGGGGGGCAGGAGCCCTTCCTGGCCCCCGACAGCAGCATTCCAAGACTGTCTGGGATTTCATTTATTTTTTAGAAGCCGTTCCATGCAGCCGCTGTGAAGTTTGTGGGAAACCTGAGTTGGGTCAGGTGAACCAGGGACCCAGCTGTTTAAAAATATTAACACGTTGTTTGTCCAGCATCAAGTGTGCTGCAGAATTGCAGCTTTTGGTGTTCAGCATGCTTTTCGTGAGGCGCTGCAGTGGCTCAAGCGGTTAAGACGCTGAACTGCAGGCTGTGGAAGGTCGGTAGTTCAGCAGTTCGAGACCCAAGTTGCCGCATGATGGGGTGAGCTCCCATCTCTAGTTCCAGCTCCTGCCAACCTAGCAGTTCGAAAGCAAGAAATTGCAAGTAGATAAATAGGTACCACTTCGGTGGGAAGGTAACAGCGTTCCATGCGCCTTGGTGTTTAGTCATGCCGGCCACATGACCACGGAAATGTCTTTGGACAGCGCTGGCTCTTCGGCTTTGAAACGGAGATGAGCACCGCAACCCTAGAGTCGGACTCGACTGGCTTTCGAGCAAGGGAACCTTTACCTTTATGCTTTTTGTGGGGATGTCAGGGGAAGGTGCCACAACTTGTCAGTTTCGGCACAACAAACCTTTCCCATTGTTTGATTTTGCATCCCCAGAACGGCTTGCAGTACTTGTAAAATGAGACATATGCAAAATCTGTGACTTATTTTTATTTTGCTGCAAAAGACTAACACGGCTGCTACTTTAGAATTCATTCTGAGATTCCTTTGAGAATCCAGCGTCTTTCTGTTTCACTGTGTGAGTGTGTACCTTTGGGGCAGGTGGGGGGGGTCATGTGAAAGAAAGGAGGAGAAGATAAGGAGTATGGTTGGCTGAACTCCATGATAAAGAGCATGAATGGGAAACAGTGTGGCACAGAGTTTGTGTGTTAAACAAAAAGGGGCCTTCCAAGGGAATGGAAAAGCAACCCCTGGAGTTCCTGACACCAGGTAGGACAAAGAGATAAAGTTGGAAACGTACGAGTCTTTCTGGCCCAGACAGGTGGCTTTAGAGGACTTGCTCAGAAACAGGGTGTGTTTGAACCACAGTGGAGCCAAACCCTGAAGGGAGCCTGGA